AGAGGAGGGGGAGGTGCCACCTTTGTAGTGGTAACTAGAGTAAGAAGTGGCAGGGGGAAAGCTGTGGTTACACCAATGGCGGGGCCCCGAGGTGGGCTAACCACCAGGTTTCGTAGCTGGATGGTTAGCTCTTAACTCTAGGGTAGTCTCAGAAAAAAGGGCAGTAGGAAATGTTACTGTCCACCTTTGCTTGTGTGATTTTTCTGAGCCTGGATCCTCTCTTGAAGTGTAGGGATTGCTGACTGATTTTTGTAGGAAGTACTCAATGTTTTCACTCATGTGCCTTGCAGCATCTGGTGGGTTTGTTTTGTTGGTTTTTTTTTTAAGGAAGCTTCTGAACTTTTCTACTCCTTTCTTTTCTTCTTTATATTCACTGCCTTTTACTACTGACTCCCCCCAGTTATGTTTTATTTTCCAAGCAACAAAGATGCAGACTGGAGCATTAAAGTAAAAAACTATCAAAGCATTTTCAAGCTTCTCTGTGTTAAAGCAAATGCAGATACTCATGTCCAGGGCATGTATTGTGCATCCACAGACATATCAAAAAGCAGATGAGAAAAAATTATTATGTGATATTGAATTAAAATCTTGGGACAGAAAAAAAAAAGGTACTGGAGCAATGCAAACTGGGTTCTGGCAGGTTGCCAGAGATGGCAGTAAAGTTGCTGTCAGTGGACTCCAACCACTGTGAACACTTCATTGAGAAAAAACAGGAGATAATGCAATACAGAATATTTTTTTCTAGGCTTCCTCACAAAAATATGTTTTCCAACAGCACCTTTTTTGGCCTAAGAAGTGGAACCTTTTTGTAAGAAGCAAGGCAAGAGGAATGCATAGTGTTTTAGGGTTTCATTCTGCGTGGCTGGATTTCTCTTCATGCTTTTGCTGCCAGAACAAATTTGTTTGCAGAGCTCTAGCAAAAGGATCATTTAGAAACAGTTATTAATAATAATTCCTTACACATGCAGTGCCATCCTTATCCTGCTGGTGGAAAGATAAAGGATAAGAAAGAGGAATTACCCTATAATATCAAAATTGAGAAGGATGGGAGCTACTGACGCCTTTTGCTCCCTTTACAGCTCCAGGTTTCCTTAGTCACCTGGGATTCCCAGCAGCAGATGTTACAGCTAAACTAAGATTTCTACTACAGAAAAAATACAGTGAGGCCTTCCTGCCAAATTTGGTTAGAGGAGTAATGGTCCCTTCCTTCCTGGTGGGAGCAGCTCTTCTTGGGGAAAAGGAAAAAGCTGCATTTATCTGGCTGTGCATGGGGAGATGGTGTGATGAATACAACATTCAAGCAAAAGTACTCGGACCCTGAAACTCCCTCCCCTGGTTCTGCAACTTTCTGGTTGCTATTTTAAGGGGATCTGAGACGGGTGCTTTTGTCACTTTGTGTGTTGTGCAGGTACGTGGAGGTTTCCTGGCTCAGCCCAGCTGCTGCTCCTGTCCCAAGGCACAGCTGTCACCCTTGACAGCTGTCCAATAAATTTCTGATAATTTGGGGGGGGCTGTCTGCACGACTTGCAACAGACAAGGAGAGACTTTCCTGCCTGGTGCTTGGCAAGGGGAGTAAAGTCTCTCCCTAGCACCTACTTCACCTTTACACCACAAAGGCGGTTGAGTCCGTGCATAGGTAATCCATCCCTCTCCATGGAGTGAGCTCCTGGCAGCAGTGGAGCCCCTGGGGTGCATGCAGCACGTCTGTCCCCCTGCCATAATGTCATGCATCGCTGGCTCATCTCATTCTTGCCACATTCAGCAAATTTAATCTCTGTATCACAGTGCCAAGGCTGCCTGTGCTAGGCTCCTTATCACCCAGACTCAGGGTTTCTTCAGTGGCATGCTCTTGCGATAGCCCCCATATGCTTCAAAAAGGCATCTATGTTCTCTAGCATGGGACATAGCAGTGGCAGGGATGGAGCCATAGGAAACAGCAGCAATAGTCAGCAATCTGGTGATACAACTGTGGTGATTTCTTTAAACTCCATGTTCACTTCTGGTATGGGCTTTCAAAGGGGAAAAAAAAACCCCAAAACTTCTTGAGATTTGGTCTGTGTGGAAAAAACAGCTGGCAGACACCCACATTTAATTTGCATGCCCATTTACTCAGCTCATCAGCTTTCCTGTTCACTGGTTCACCCTGACAGGAGGGATGTTTGTGATTCCCCATACAACTTCTCCGCTTGGGCCTGGGGACGTGGTGAATGCTGGCTTGCAGGTACAGAGCTGGTCTGGATTTCTGTGGTGGGTGAACTTTGCCTTGCCGCACATGATGAGCAAAGCATGCAGGCACAAGCACATGATGAGCCCAGGCAGGTCACTAGACAGCTTTTGGCTCTCCCTGGAGCATGTGGCATCCCTACCCCTTTTTTATAGGCACTGGTGTGGTGTTCTTGCACAAATCCACCTTAAGGTAAAAACCTGCTGTCTGACCCACCCATAATTAAAGCTTAATTTAATTTGCATGCTGACTGATCTTAGGTGCGTGATGAGTGTAGTCTGTGCAGAAGTCGTGCCTCTAAGATATGCCATTTGTTTCTTGATTGCTTTTTATGACCCAACACGTTTTGTTCTTAGATTTCAGGATTTGAAACTAAGAGGGGCAAATTTTTTTTTTTACATGTTGTTGTGACTTTTCAGCCAGGTGTACTTCAAAGTTGGATTGAACAAACCACACAGCTCCTTCTGAGCTGCTGAATTGAGATCCACTTTTTTTTACTTGTCAGAAGTGCTCTTTGCTGTCCTCAGAGTTGAGTCCTGTGACCCCGGTGCTCCAAGGATGAAGAAGAGTGACTGCTATGCGCTCGTATTTGAATAGTTTTAGTGCTATTCACATTTGAAGCAAGAACCTGCCCCTTGTTGTAGCAGGGTTGTTGGCATCGCTCAAGTATCTGCTTTAAGTATATGCTTGGAGTTATGTTAGTGTTTAATTACTGAGGCCCATGCCTGACATACTGTGTAAATTGTGGAGGGTTTGTTTTCTCGGGCACATTTAAACATTGGAGAACCATATTGTTTAAGGCTTTAGGATTGCTTCCTTTGGCTTGCTTCATCACGATGGAAAAGCTGATTTTTGGGAAAAAAAAAAAAAAAGTTACTTGATTTCTGGTTGGATTTCAGTCCTTTTTCTTCTCTTTGCTTCTTCAAAATCCAGTCAATGCTTTTTTAAAAAAAAGTAATCATCCTACTATGAAAAGTTGAAAAGAGGTATCCTTATTTTCCGAACAGTGTGTTTTCTTTTATTTGGTTAAAACTGCACTGAGCTGGGCCCATTTGTATATGTGATGTTTTACTCCTGCTAAAAATAAGTCTGCTTTTACTTTACATGAGGTTTTTATCCACCAGAGAGTTGCTGCTGTGCAAGAATTGATTCATGTTAGCTGTTCCATTCATCTTATTTGACTGATTCTTAAGCATCTTTGCTCTGTCTCCTACTTTGAGACAGACAGCTGTATTGTCAAATTTTAAGGAGAAAAAATGGCTGTTTCTTTCATGCTTATTGGAATGTAGACTCCGGAAGCCAAGTTATTCTTAATAGCAATTTGGCTTTTTCAGCTGCCTCCTAAAACTCTTGTAATGCAACAGAGAGAGAGGCTGAGGTAGTACACAGCAACCACCTGTTTGATGAAGGTCCATGTACTTCACATTGTTGTCAAGGCTGTGGGAAAACCCTTACTGTGTGGTAGGATAAGGGAGCTATGCAATGGAAAAGACTGAAGTCCTTATCTGTGCCGTATCTTAACCTCCCTCTTGCTTTCAAGGATTTGACTCTGCTGCTCCATTTCTTGCTGTGGTTCGGATTTGTGCTTTCGGTGTCATTTGTGGAATGATCACAACTGTAAGCCTTGTTTAAAATCATGTTTGCCAGGGTAACTATAGCAAAAACTGGGGAGGAGGTTAGCAGAGCACAGCCTGGAGGTAGCCGCAGCTTCCTCAGAGCAGCGCAAGTAGCAAAGGATAGGGTGCAGCTACTACGCAAATATTTTTTCCACAGTTAACTGGCTCTCAGTGAGGTCGTTTCCTTACTGTAGGTGTTGCCGTGCCTCCTTGATGCATTCTGTTGGCAATGTTTTCATTTCATACCCATAGCCTTCCTGCCCTTGCCAGCTAGGGTCCTGTCGTGACCCCACAGATCAGCTTTTATTCGTATTTTGCTTTCTGACATGGCAAAAGAGCTGCTGTTTGGCTAGCGCGGAGCACACGCTCTTTGCTCACCATAGGCAGAGAAGGGAAGTGTAGCATTAAAAACAACTATAAAATACAACAAGAAGCAACTTTTGCCTTACATGGTCTGGTTAACCATTTTTCATCTTGCACATATACACTGGATGCCCAGTAGAAGTGTACATCACTTTGCATGCTGTCCTCTCTGCACAAACCTGATGATTTGCATTTCTGTATGAAGGCACTGCTGAATTCAGATGTTGCAACTTCCCATATAAGTTGCACCTACTTTCATCTGTGCTTGCAGATTAAGCCCTTGCAGACAACTGTGGCCCATGACATTGTTCTGCTTTACCTCGGTGTCCAGGGAAGCTGACCTTGTTGTGTTGAAGGGTTAAGCTGTTCTCTTAAGTGGATTTTGCCGATTGGATTGTCCTTCATGTTGATGCTGTGAGCAAAGTGTAATCACATGAGTAATGTTAAAAATCTGCCTGACCCTGGAGGCCATAAAAGCCTTTTTTTTTAGCCACTGGCTGATGGGTCTGTATAACTAGCATTGTGTCTGATTGCCTCTGGTGTCCCTACCCACATAGTTAGGCATGGCAGACAAGCAGGACCTTTTTATGTGAGCAAAAGAAGATGGCATTCATGCCTCTGGAGACATCTGCTCCATGCTGCCAGAGTAGCACATACCTATAGCACATACCTCACTAATGCCAATATGCTTGCCTTTGCAAAAGGATTTGAGTTTCTGAGAGTGAAACACCTTGGTGTGTTTGTTTTAGAAGTTCTACAAGAAGTATTTAATTTTCTTGTTTGTATTTTACAGAAACCTGTTTCCTGCAAATCTTGTTACTGCAGCTTTCCGAACGGTAAGATATGTGTGGACTTTGGACATGAACTACAGTACACAGACAGAAAAAGTGACTGCTCTTTTTTGAAAAAGGACGAGAAAGATGGTGTAGAAAATATAAAAAGTTAATTTACTTATAGTAGGTGGGATTTTTAAAAGCATTTGATGTCATCAGACATACAAATTCCATGGCAAATGGTTTGATTTTGAAAAATACTCCTCAAACAAAAGCATATTTGTAGCCTATGCTTTGTACCTCCACCAAAAATGTTCTTTAAACTTTTATACTTTGGGTGCTGTGTTGGGCAGCAGTGGCAACTCTGCTTTGTGCCAGGCTGCTTACAACTTTGCAGCAGCTAGCTGGGAAACCCTTGGGTACGTAGTTTGGAGCTGGGCTCAGAACAGACAAGGCTGAAGACTTTCAGGCTCCCATGGTGTTGTAAGCATTGCCTGTTGCCTGATGCTTTTATTAAGTATTTTCCATTGTATCCCTTGCTGGATTAATTGGTCAGCCTGGCTTCTCCTTGACAGAGGACTAAGTGTGGTAAGATGATAACTGGCATCAGAACATCGTGTGGTTTAAACTGATGGACAGGAGCTGTGGGGCTCCAAGAAGATTTTGTTTTAGTTCTTATTGCTAATTTTAGGTGTCAGGGTAGACACTGTTGAGAATATTGCTGTGGGGCAGAGTGATTCTTTATGATACAGAAGCAGAATAATAGTTTTTGCCTTCATGGTATTCTGTGGGTTTGCTTTTGTATCAAAACCGAGGTCAAACTCTTAAAATCGAGTTCCATTTTGAGTGTATATGTAATACAGTACAAGTCAATATCCCATAAATAAAAATAGGAGCAGTACAAAAATACCATTAAGAAAAGGATATTCTGTGATACCTTGAGTGTCAGGGTTCTGTATGTTCAGGGTTGACATGAAGAAATCCTCCTTTTGTCTGTGCTGCTGTTGTCACAGGTAATTGGCAAGTACGTAAGCTTTTCTTTCCCCTATTTTATATCTAAAGAAAACAAGCCCAAAGAAGTGCCCTGCTTTTGCAAGGTGTCTAGCTTGTTGATCAAAAGTAAACTGTTGCCCTAGATTTTAGATATTTTCCTGACAATTTTAATGCCTGCCTCACCATTTCTGACAGTGAAACAGCGCAAGCACTGCTTGGCTTCTGCAGGAGCCAGTGCGACAGTGTGGTGTGTGAGCAGCAGAAGGGTGGAGGAAAGGGGAATTCCTCAGCTGCTGCCCAGACCTTGGAGCTCAGGGGGTCACAGAGCACTTCTCTGTTGCCACATGGGGAAGGAGCTGCATATGCTGTCGCTCCCTTTTCTTTCATAGGACAGGCTCATTAGCCTCCACAGTATGGTTTCCAGAAAAAGTCCTCCTAACAATGATCTCCTTGTGAAATGCTAGATGATGTTGATGATCTGATTGGCAAACACTGTGGTTTTGTTTGTTTTTTTTCTTGCCTGCAGTATGCGACAAAATATGAGATGCTGCTCAGAAACACTACCTCTGGAAATGTCACGCAGGAAAAGGTAAGGTCACTTCTTAGGTTTTTATACAAACCCTTGTCAACTGTAATATTAGACTACTTCACAGTCTTTAATCCTTTCCAGCAGTCATTGGAAAAAAAAAGTACTTTTCTTTGCCTGGAACTGAGACACACACAAGCCAGATGGGTTGCCCGCTGCCACACAAGAAAGCCACAATGGATAGGAAAGTTGGGCTCAACTGATCTGACCCTTGAGACCTTATTTTTAGGCCATGGTTTCTTAGACCTGGTCTCACTTGATCTAAATTTTGCTTAGTCACTCTGCCCAATGTTTCCAAATAACTTTCTATAGACTTGGAATTAAATAGCAATCAGGCTGGCTGCATATGTCCCTTAAACCTAGCTTTTCATTAACAGTTTGGGGAGAATGCTCTTTTTTCCACTACCTGCGGCTCTTTTAAAAAAAAAAAAAAAAGTCAGTTGAGAATTTTTTTTTGTTGCCATGCTGCTGAAATTTTGTTTGAAGCAGTAACAAGTAGTCTGAAGGAGTAAAAATTATAGATAGAACATTGCAAATAGGCTGCTATTGCAATGGTGTCAAAAAGCAAACTAATTTGCAGGTGTAGCTGAGGTGGAGAGTGTTACCTTCCATATGTAGCTCATAGGATTTCCAGAGATGCTCCATATCCCATTGGTGGCATCTCTCCTGCAGCACAGGGCTATCAAACATCTTTATTACTGGCCAGAGCCGACATATTGCAGGTCCAGCAATAATTACCATTGTCTTAACAGGCAGCACGCTATGAAACAGACTCAGTATCCCAGCCTGTAATATGTCACCTCACTCCAAATGAAGTATCTCATGTCCTTTTGTGGGGTTTTGGGGAGATGGGGCTGAGACGGGAAATTACTTTCAGAGTTATTTTCTATTTCTCTGGCTCATTCTGACTATTTGAGATCAGTATTGGATGTTGGGTTACAAATCAAATGTGATTTGAATGCCTCTAGGGCAAGAGACCTGTAATGTTTGTATTTGTCATGGAAGAGCTCAGCTGGGGCTTGCCCACCACTTCGTAAAATCATCAAGGAAAAAGCAGTTTATGCTCGTCCAGAGGGACTCTGAAGCATATCCTTGAGCGCAGGAAGTACTGGCCTCATTACCTTCTCCTTGCCACGCACAGTGCTTGAGCAGGCGGTGCAGAACAGTGTGTTTCCAAACTCTGCTTTCAGCTGACGGGCTGAACTTTCACCAGCCCCAGAGGCAGGGTGACAGGTGACTTGGATGGCACAAGAACTGAGCAGGGGAAAAGTCAGCCCTTGCCTAGAAGCCTGCTATCACACAGTGAGTAGTTTCACTGGGGAAAAAGGCAGCCACATCTGCCTGGCCTCTGCCCGTGCCTGTAAGATTGCACTAACCCAAATCTGTACTCACCCTATCTGACATGGATGCGCAGCAACAACTGCAGAAGGGCCATGTGATCTCAAAAGATCTCTTCTCACACCACTATATGCTTGGGCAGTACATGCCCATGCAGCCTTGTGCTGCTAAAAAACAAGTTCAATATGAAAGGCTGTAACATTGTGCATTTAAGCATGTGTTTGCTTACAGAATGTAGAGTTATTCATTTAAGCAGGACATTTAAGACTCTTCTTATTTTCAGTGTCAAGTTTGATAGGGGCTTCCTGGCAACCAAGCATGGGTCAGGTCCAGCCATATCCTTTGGACATAGACTTGGATGTCAAGTTCTTTTTTTAGTGCTTGTTCAAAGCCATCACTCTTCCTCAAGAGATAAGAATGCATCATCTGGCAATTTAAAATGTAAAATTCTTCTTCTTTCCTTTTCCTACTTACCAAGCTCCTGTTTGATGCAATATCAGAAAAATATTCTGAATTTGTCACCGGCATCTGTTTTTGCCAGCAGTTATGATGTAAAGGTTATTTCTGCTATTATTTTTCCCAAACTTTTCTTCAGTTGTTGGAGCAAAACCAGAGCTGAGCTTTAATTCCAGAAGACGCCCTACTGTCT